GCTCTAAATGAGGTCATTCCTGAAGAAGGGAAAAAGATATATGTTGCAATATGTCCCCAACCTTTTCATTCCATGCCTAGAAGACTTGGTGCTGTCCTTACAAACAATGGAGGTTTATACAAAGCACTAGATGTAGTATTTTTTGTTGTAGGGTGTATTCATTTTTGCATCAACTAATTTGAGTAAAACTGAAGATTTTGTAATCTAAGTTATATTAGTAATCTTACTTTCATGTAATGAGCTAAACAAATGTTCTATAAAAACTCAGTTGTGTCAAAAGTTTGGAAATTGTTCTTGTGTTCATTGAGATATTGATTAAAATCTTACTTTTCAAAAGCGGTGTACTCATTTATGCTGAGCACTGTATATATGAGTCTGGGATGCAAGTGTTAAAAGTGTGAATAGTGCAGAATCCACCAGTTTGAAGGTTTGTAAATTGTACAGAGTGCAAATGGGGTAGACGCAATGCCAGATTTCATCTATAGGTGGGGTCAGGATCCTAGACTCAAAGAAGCTTGTTAAATAATTGCTTAAAGTCAAGCTAAAAAATGTTTTCTTAGTTTTGGATAGAGTGAGGAATAGTAAGTATCCCTGTCAGATTTTTAATACTATCCAGGACTCCTCAATGCTTTCCTCTGCTTGTGCAATGTTTTTGCAGACAGAGAGTGAGTAAAGCCTAGTACACATGATCATAAAATTACACAACAAAATACCACTTCATACAATAATCTGATCGTTAGTACACCGCTTTCAGCCAAAATTATTGGAAGAGACAAACCCAAAATTTTTTCTCGTGCGTTACCAGATCATATGATTTTCGGTTAATTAGCGCAGTTTTTGTCAATATACAATATAAATACAATACATTACATCACTTCCAAATTTGTATTCTGTTGTTCAATAATTTTCATAACTTTAGTAACCTCTTTATTTTCAATTTGAGACTAGCATGCAAAAAAAAAAAAAAAGTACAGGGCTTTAAACTCTCCAATGGCAATACGGACAGAGATAAAAACACTTTTTAGTAGATTAGAAGAAATCTGGAAACCTTATCAGATTTTTATTTTCTCCCTATGTCCCCATTGCAGATTTTCAATTGCTTTTTGTCTGGTAAAGTCACTGTCATTAGATCATAAAGTGAGGGAAAATATCTCTAACGGAGTCTTGAATTGCAGGCAATACCACACAGGAGTTTTAATCTTTCCCTACTAAAATTAAAACTCACGTTTTTGGCTGGACACACACTTTTGATATGAAATGGGTGTAGGAATGGCTCAGTTTGTTTGCTGTGAAATGTAGTCTTTACTTTTTTGCTTGCTTTATTCTTTCAGCACCCAAATAGTCATTATTGAAAAAATAAAACACCATTTTATATAAGATATAGCTGATATGGGTCTAATGTTAGTATACAATTATTTGTGTTTTAATTGCATCTAAACAAATGATAAATTATGTAATCTATACCAGATAGTTGTAAAAAACAATGAGTACCCATTAATGCATTTTTCAAGTTTTTTTAGCCTCAATCACACGCCAAGTAAAAGATGACAAAAGATAGCGTTGAATGTCTGCCAGCTACCTGCTGGGATCCACATTTCACCAGAAACACTATACTTTCTATTTAGAGTGTCACTGGGTGCATACAGACTACCCTATACTGCTATAATTTCAAGTAACATGCAGTGTTTGTTTCTATTTCAGATTTTTAGAAAAATAAAGACCACATGGACAGTACAAGAACCTGTATTTGTATTTGTCAGAGGAAATCATAAAACTATGTTTAAAGCTTAGTACTCTGGGTATCAATGTGTGTGGCTTAGCAAAGCACAGAAGGGCTTTGGAATGCTGAAGTTCACCATATGGGCTATATTTGTAAAGCTGGTGATTTCACTGCTTTGACCAACTGAACGGCTAACCTTTGAATGCTCACACTCTTTTAATCTGTAGCATTCTTCTTTTCATTTTTTGTTTGCTCTCTGGATTTCACTTTGTATTAGCACTCATCTGTGCTGCTGAATTCTCTTCATAGTGCATATCTCCTTTTGTTACTTACATTAATTTATATTTTTAACTTAGAGTGTCATCCCAAGCAAAAATGAAACTCACTTTATCATTAAAACTCCTAAATAGGTAAACATTAGCAATATGCTTATTGTTTAAATTTGATTGCAAATGCTGTGCAATTAACCATTTATTCTGCCAGGCTCCAGGTTAACAATTGCCTTCCCGTGTTCAATTGACAATGCAGGCACATAGGCACCATTAAATGCCATCTAGGCTCAGTGCTGTTGACACCAGTGGCATAACTAGGATTGTGAAAGACCAGAGCACCCACAGTCACGTACACCGATGCAAATAGTGGATGTCATGAAATTGTGCTAACATTGGGGAGGGCTTAAAAGGGTATGGTTAAATAAAACCCGAGCCAATTCTGCTCTGGGTAAAGAGACAAGCTCAGGGGCACACATAAACTTCAGTACAAAAAAAAAAAAACCTCCTACATTACATAAGCTTTTCTGCACACAATAAGATATACATTTGTCTGAGTCTACTTTAAAGTAGAAGAACTGGGGAGGGGGAGGTGGAAGAAAGAGGGGTGAGAGAGAAAAATGGGAGAGAGATAGAGGAGAGAGGGGAAGAAGCGAGAGGAGGGAAAGAGAGGGACAGGGGGAGGGAAGAGGGGGAGAAAGATATGGGGGAGAGAAAGAGATGAGGGAGAGAAAGAAAGAGAGGGGATGAGAGAAAGAAGTTGAGGAGGGATAAAGATGGGCATGAGAGAGAGAAGGGGTGCAAGACAGAGAAGAGGTAAGTGAGATGGGAGAGGGGGGAGAAGGAGTAAGAGAGAGAGGGGGAGAATTGGGAAAGAGAGAGAGGGTGTTAGAGAAAGAGAAGAGAGAGGGAGAGATTGGAAGATGGTGAAAGAGAGGCAGAGAGAGAGAGGGAGAGGGGGAGAAGTGGAGAAGAGAGAGAGGGTGTTTGTTAGGAATGGACTGGCCAGCAATGGTGGGACTCACCTGCCTTTTGATCTGCAGTACCAGGGCTGGCCAGCGGGTGCTCCCAGCAATCAGAGACTCAACCTTTCAGCCAGCTAACACCTGGAACTGATGATGCTGGGGTATTTAAGGGATGGCCAGACCCACAGACTCTGCCTTGGTGTTGTGTTTGTCCTGGGCCCTGTATCTGTCCTGCATCCTGTTTCTGTCCCTCTGCCTGACCCTCTGTACTACGCTGCTTGTTACCTGTTTTGATCTCTGGCTTGTGACCCTGACCATCCCTCTGCCTGACCCTCTGTACTACGCTGCTTGCTACCTGCTGAACCTGGCCTGTGACCCCGACCATTCTCTGCTTGCTCCCCCTGTACCTACCTGCCCAATTGATATTGACCCGGCCTGCCTGACGACGCTTGCTTGTATGTACTGTTATACTGTGGGTGGTTTGGTTTGGTTTGTTTGCACTGTGTTATGTTTAGTATTGCACTGCGTTTATGTTTGTATGGTTAGTGTTAATAAATTGTATTGTTTATCACATATCTGAAGTCTGCGTTTCCCTGCATCAGTCACACACCTCTGGTCATACCTGGGAGCCCTGACATTACACCAAGGCCAATCCTGACCAGAAGTGGCTGCACAGGGAAGCCATCTTGGCTTGTTGATGGGAAGGATGGATCTTGATGAGGTTGAATATTTATATCTGCTAGTGTTTGATGACAGGGAGTATGCTTATCAAACTCTGAAGGAGTATACCCGGGATGAACTGCTAGAATGTATACGGCTCGCTCATGTTCTAGTAGATCAGGGCACAGAGTTCTCTGAGGTGCAGCCTTTGATTGAGGTTTGTGCTGAGTTGGTTTCATCTGGTACCCCCGAAAGCAGGGATGAATTTTTGCCACCATTTAGTGCAGACCAGGTAGAGTCCCTGGTGTGGTTATTAGAGGATGATGTGGGTTACTTTCTGGAGCGTTATTCCACATGTTCACCACAGACACTAAGAGATTGTATAAACGCAGTACAGTCATTGACCAGACAGGCTTTGTGTAAGCTCAGCTTTGTTCAACCCATACTGCAGACATGGACAGATTTGTTGCACCCAGCCTCAGTCAGCTTACAAAGACCCAGTCCTGCTTCTAATCTATTTCCTCAAAACTCTATTCCTGCATTCCCAACAGCTCCTCCTGCCCTGCTATCTACCGCATGTCAGTACCCTGTTCCCACTCGCTGCACCTATCCTGCCTTTAACCCTGTAAAAGAGCCCTCTGTAGCAACCGCTCCCTCTCCTGTTCCATCCTCCAGTTCTTCTCTGTCTCCAGCTGCTCCATTCGTTTGCAGACCTGCGTTTACTTGCAGTGCTCCAGTAGTTAAAACCAGAAAAAAGCGAAAATTCTTTCCAACCAATACCATCCTGCCAGTATCCAAACCGGTGAGCCTGCCTTCCGTGGTTCAGCCTGAAGCCTCTACTCAGCCTGAAGCCTCTACTCAGCCTGATGCCTCTACTCAGCCTGATGCCTCTACTCAGCCTGAAGCCTCTACTCAGCCTGAAGCCTCTACTCAGCCTGAAGCCTCTACTCAGCCTGATGCCTCTACTCAGCCTGATGCCCCTACTCAGCCTGAAGCCTCTACTCAGCCTGATGCCTCTACTCAGCCTGTGATGCCTCTCTTCAGCCTGATGCCTCTCTTCAGCCTGATGCCTGTATGCAGCCTGATGCCTGTATGCAGCCTGATGCCTCTCTTCAGCCTGATGCCTCTACTCGGCCTGATGCCTCTACTCGGCCTGAAGCCTCTACTCGGCCTGAAGCCTCTACTCGGCCTGATGCCTCTACTCGGCCTGATGCCTCTACTCGGCCTGAAGCCTCTACTCGGCCTGATGCCTCTACTCGGCCTGAAGCCTCTACTCGGCCTGAAGCCTCTACTCGGCCTGAAGCCTCTACTCAGCCGGACGCCGGCATTCAGCCTGATGCCTCTACCCAGCATGATGAACTGATCCAGCCTGACGATCCTATTAGGCCAGTTGACTCGATGCCCGCTGTTGATCCAGATGATCCGGTACCTGATCCGGTGCCCGCTGTCGAGCCAAATGACCTGATGCCTGGTGACCCAGTGCCCGCTGTCATACCTGGTGACCCGATGCCCGCTGTCGAGCCAGACAATCCGGTACCTGATGACCCGGTGCTCACTGTCGTGCCTGTTGACTCGGAGCCCACTGCCTTGCCAGATGACGCGGTGCCCGCTGTCGAGCCAAATGACCTGATGCCTGGTGACCCGATGCCCGCTGTCCAGCCAGACGATCCAATGTCTGACCCAGTGCCAGCGGTCATCCCAGTTGACTCGGAGCCCACGGTTGTGCCTGGTGACTCGGTGCCCGCCGCCCCGCCTGGGGGCCTGAGACCTGTCGTTCCGCCTGGGGGTCCGGCGCCCGCCACTCCGCCTGAGGGTCCGAGACCTGTCGCTCCGCCTGGGGGTCCGGCGCCCGCCGCTCCGCCTGAGGGCCCGAGACCTGTCGCTCCTCCTGGGGGTCCGGCGCCCGCCGCTCCGCCTGAGGGCCCGAGACCTGTCGCTCCGCCTGGGGGTCCGGCGCCCGCCGCTCCGCCTGAGGGCCCGAGACCTGTCTCTCCGCCTGGGGGTCCGGCGCCCGCCGCTCCGCCTGAGGGCCCGAGACCTGTCGCTCCACCTGGGGGTCCGGCGCCCGCCGCTCCGCCTGAGGGCCCGAGACCTGTCGCTCCATCTGGGGGTCCGGCGCCCGCCGCTCCGCCTGAGGGCCCGAGACCTGTCGCTCCTCCTGGGGGTCCGGCGCCCGCCGCTCCGCCTGAGGGCCCGAGACCTGTCGCTCCGCCTGGGGGTCCAGCGCCCGCCGCTCCGCCTGAGGGCCCGAGACCTGTCGCTCCATCTGGGGGTCCGGCGCCCGCCGCTCCGCCTGAGGGCCCGAGACCTGTCGCTCCGCCTGGGGGTCCGGCGCCCGCCGCTCCGCCTGGGGGCACGATGCCTGTCGCCCCGCCTGGGGGGCACGATGCCTGTCGCCCCGCCTGGGGGCCCGATGCCTGTTGCCCCTCCTGGGGGCCCGGCGCCCCGCCCCCCGCCTGGGGGCCCGACGCCGGTTGCCCCCGCCCGGGGGCCCGGTGCCTGCTGCTCCCGCCCGGGGGCCCGGTGCCTGCTGCTCCGCCCGGGGGCCCGGTGCCTGCTGCTCCGCCCGGGGGCCCGGTGCCTGTGCTCCCGCCCGGGGGCCCGATGTATGTCGCCCCGCCCGGGGGCCCGGTGCCTGCTGCCCCGCCCGGGGGCCCGGTGCCTGCTGCCCCGCCCGGGGGCCCGATGCCTGTCGCCCCGCCCGGGGGCCCGATGCCTGTCGCCCCCGCCCGGGGGCCCGGTGCCTGTCGCCCCGCCCGGGGGCCCGGTGCCTGCTGCTCCGCCCGGGGGCCCGGTCGCCCCGCCCGGGGGCCCGGTGCCTGCTGCTCTGCCCGGGAACCCGGTGCCTGCTGCTGCTCCGCCCGGGGGCCCGATGCATGTCGCCCCGCCCGGGGGCCCGGTGCCTGCTGCTCCGCCCGGGGGCCCGGTGCCTGCTGCTCCGCCCGGGGGCCCGGTGCCTGCTGCTCCGCCTGGTGGCCCGCTGCCTGCTGCTTCGCCTGGTAATCCGATGTGCCTCTGCCCGGAGTCCTGCCCGATGTGCCTCTGCCCGGAGTCCTGCCCGATGTGCCTCTGCCCGGAGTCCTGCCCGATGTGCCTCTGCCCGGAGTCCTGCCCGATGTGCCTCTGCCCGGAGTCCTGCCCGATGTGCCTCTGCCCGGAGTCCTGCCCGATGTGCCTCTGCCCGATGTGCCTCTGCCCGGAGTCCTGCCCGATGTGCCTCTGCCCGATGTGCCTCTGCCTGATGTGCCTCTGCCCGGTGTGCCTCTGCCCGATGTGCCTCTGCCCGGAGTCCAGCCCGGTGTGCCTCTGCCCGGAGTCCAGCCCGGTGTGCCGCTGCCCGAGTCCTGCCCGGTGTGCCAGTCTTTGATATCCCTCCAGTTACCAGACCCGGGCGGTGGAACATTTTGCCCAGCTAGGACTGTTTGGAGCGTCCTGAGGCCGCTCCTTGGGGGGGGGGGTACTGTTAGGAATGGACTGGCCAGCAATGGTGGGACTCACCTGCCTTTTGATCTGCAGTACCAGGGCTGGCCAGCGGGTGCTCCCAGCAATCAGAGACTCAACCTTTCAGCCAGCTAACACCTGGAACTGATGATGCTGGGGTATTTAAGGGATGGCCAGACCCACAGACTCTGCCTTGGTGTTGTGTTTGTCCTGGGCCCTGTATCTGTCCTGCATCCTGTTTCTGTCCCTCTGCCTGACCCTCTGTACTACGCTGCTTGTTACCTGTTTTGATCTCTGGCTTGTGACCCTGACCATCCCTCTGCCTGACCCTCTGTACTACGCTGTTTGCTACCTGCTGAACCTGGCCTGTGACCCCGACCATTCTCTGCTTGCTCCCCCTGTACCTACCTGCCCAATTGATATTGACCCGGCCTGCCTGACGACGCTTGCTTGTATGTACTGTTATCTGTGGGTGGTTTGGTTTGGTTTGTTTGCACTGTATTATGTTTAGTATTGCACTGCGTTTATGTTTGTATGGTTAGTGTTAATAAATTGTATTGTTTATCACATATCTGAAGTCTGCGTTTCCCTGCATCAGTCACACACCTCTGGTCATACCTGGGAGCCCTGACAGTGTTAGAGAAAGAGAAGAGAGAGGGAGAGATTGGAAGATGGTGAAAGAGAGGTGGAGAGAGAGAGAGAGAGGGTTAGAAAGGTGAAGGAGATGGCGACGGAAAAGAAGGGGGTGAAAAAGAGGGAGTGCTGAAAGAGGGAGGGAGAGACAGACAGAGAGAGGGGTGGTGAGAGAAAGAGGTGGGGGAGAAAGGTAGAAGGGGAGGGGGGGGATAGGAGAGAGAGTTCAGGGTACAAAATTGCACCAATTATGGACTTCTCTGGGGCTCAGGCTCAATCACCAAGCTTGGTCTCTGAAATGTTAGGCAGCATGCAAGCAGCTGACATCTGAGCTGCTCCTGGTGCCCAGCGTCCATACAACTGGTGCAGAGCCTGGCAGCAAGAAGCCACTTAAGTGTGCTGCCCTCACCACCCACTCCACAAGCTCAACATGAAGCTGTGCATTACCTCACTGCATAACAGAGGGTTGGAGTATGTGTGGACACACTCAGCTTCTGACTGCTATGTCTGCCTGCTGCCTCTCAAAACTGTTGCATATACAGTAGCTGAGAAGGCATTTCACACCTCTCCCCTTGACTCTGTGCTGCAGGTCTGATAGGTGATGGAATAGCAAAAATGTTGGGTGGACATGTGGGGGTGTTGGTACCCAGGGCATGCAGCAATAGATTTGGGATGTGTCCCACATGCCCAATGCTAATTACACCCCTTATTGGCACTCAGCTCTTACCTCTGCACATTTTGCATAAATCATGAAATGGCAAGGCAGATTCTTTTTCCAACAAACAAGCATTTTCATTCAGGAGAAGTTTCTGACAGTGCCAGGTGTGGTCCACCTCTACTCTTAGCTAGTTTTACCATGCACTAGGTCACTTCCTGCTATATTCTTGTTCTGGCCTACCATCCTCAGAGGAAGGGATCATAAACAGAAGCCCTGGGGTAATGCTACTGCACATAAATAATCAAAAAGAAGGTTCTTTAAAAATCAATTTTTACTTTCAAAATTGTAAAACAAACCCAATAAAGCACTGGGAAAAGTGCCATTAGGAAGTTTTGAGGATTAGCTTTCCATTTACTTTAAGCCTATTTGAGATTATATTTAATTTATAAAGTGTGTGCTTCTGTAATTATGCTTGAGAGACTTATTACTGGAGGTTTAATCTTCTTCTGTTTTAAGGTGTCATTGTTTCAATTGTAAATGGAAACAGGAAAACATTTACCCAAAAAAAGAAAAATATTGAAATTGAAATTATTCTTTATTTTTTTCTCTGTGTTGATATACTGTACATACTGTATATGTTTATGTATGTGTGTTATGAAAGTTGTTTTTGCAGTGTGTGGGAAGCCCTGTCAGGCTTTTCTTGATCTCTATGTCCTTAATATGGAAAGTTGCCCTCTCTGTTTGCCCTTGTTAGCACTGTCACTAGAGATAAAAGTGAGGGGAAAGGAATGGAGAGGAAATTTTTCAGTTAGAACACATGTCCCAATGAGAAGCATCTAAGAGTGTATTTCCCTTGATTTCTTCCTTTGTCCTTTCCCTAGAACAGAGAGCAATGAGAAATCTCGCCAATTGGAACATTGATGTCCAAAAATGACAAGGATTTGAACCTATCCCTACTCTATACAAAACTAAAACCATAGTTTTGGCTTTAGATTTCTCTCCTTTAAATGTTATCTAAAATATTGGCTTTAATGCAGGCTATACTTATGGCGCAGGATTTACAAAACATTATAGGTTTTCTCAAGAAAGCAGAGGCTGCTTTCTTTAAGATTCTCTCTCTTTCCCCTCTCTATAAAATCAGTTAAGGAAAAATATACTGTATTAAATAGTAATATGTAGTATTTCATATTTACCTAACTAAACAAATATATTTGTTTTAGTCTTTACCATAATGGGCATAGTAAGTGTATACAAACCACCATATATTTTGTAGAATTCCATAATACTTTATGTGCCACTTAAAAAAAATAATAATGATAATACGCAAGCAGGTATAAAATGAAGGTGCCTTCACATACCTACAACAGTTTTCAGTGCTCCTTTCCTCTCCCTAACCATCTCCCTCTTCTTCCCCACTGCACCTGGATGTTCTTTTTATCAGGCAAATTTGTCATGCTCCTTGGAAGATTGACGGCGCCTTCTTACCCAATATACTGTACATCCTTATTGGCCTATCACTGTGATAGACGTTTCCAGTGTTACATAGATAGCGCTCAATAAACATGATTAGCTCAGCTTCATGGCTATCCCTCTACTTGGCATGCAGGAAATAAACAGAAGTTGATGTAATTACAGATTTCCGGTACATATACTAGAACTGTTCAAAATACATTTATTGGCTTTATGACTGTTGATTTATGGTGGAATGTTTACATGCAACATTACATTACACAAATCCTCAGTCTCTTCTCTTATAAAAACAGATACGAGCATCTACAGTATATTTTTGCTCTTTAATTCCTTTTGTAGGCACTTTTTTCAAGCTGCTTACTCCAGATTGTTGTGCAGGTCTGATCTGCAACTACAGGAAACGTTTGGTTGAGGTTATTGCTGCCAAAGGAGGGTCAATCAGTTATTAAGTCCAAAGGTTCACATACTTTTTCCTCCCTGCACTGTGAATGTTTACATGTTATGTGCAATTAAACCATGGCAACATCTAATGTTTGTGTAGTATTATGTTCAGCAGACTGTGTTCTTCTATTGTTGTGACTTAGATGACGTTCAGAGCACATTTTATACCTAATTCATGCAAAACTCCACATGATCCCAAGGGGTTCACATACTTTTTCTTGCAACTGTATGTACCTTTACTGAGAAGGTTCAAAACATAGTCACCAGCTACAACTATTACAGTTGTTCTGCTGGTGATAAACAAATAACTTTTATCTATCTACAGTATCATCCTGTTATATCT